GCGCACGGGGGGCGGCGGGGGTGGCAGCGCCTGCGGTTCGGCGCCACCGAAGAAGCACGTGTGGTATACGGCGTCGTCGGTGTCCCCCTTGGCCCGCCGCGCGCCCCCACGGGGACCCCCAGGCGCAGCGAGCAGAGGCCCAAAGGGCAGCGATCCTGGGAGCAGACCGGCGCCGTAGAGGCAGGAGCGCACGGACTCCAGTGTGTCATAGATGCTTGGGTCCTTCACCACCAGGCCTGTGGCGACAGAAGACCAGGGAGCTTCCTGAATCCTGAGTGCCCTAGGCTAAGGGTCAGAGGGCATGGGCAGGATGTCCAGTTCTTTCCTGTTGGCCTTCCTTGAGCCTCAGCCTTCTGGTTCTAAAGCTGGAGTTATAATAAACTCAAGAGTGCCACTTTGGGATAGAAAGGGAGGCCACAGAAAGGAATGACAAACGCAGACTTCTTTGTTGGAGACAGCCTCTCCACATGGCCCTAGCAGTCCTGGGACCTACTAATGTAGACCAGGCTGGTCTCGAACTCTCAGAGATCCCCTTTTCTCTGCCTCCCGGGTGCTGGGATTAAGGGTGGGCACCACCACCGTCTGGGAAATTGTTTTCTTTTTAAAAATAAATCAAATCACAACTCTCTCTCAGTGCTCAACCCTAACGCCCAGAGCGCGAGAGTGAGTACAAAACTGTGTATCAGTTTAGGGTGATGCTGTGTCCGCAACAGTGCCTCTGCCTCTGCACTGTGGAGCCAGCAGCCTGCTAGTTCTAAGAGGGGGGATCTAAGATCGGGATGTCTGTCGGGATGTCCGACATACTCACCATGCACTAGCCGCTGCTCCTGAACCATTAGCGATCTGTATTCTCCCCACTTCTCATATAGGGTTTGCTGTAAGACACATGCAGCCAACTGTCAGGACTGCAGGACACCAGCAGGATATGGGGACACAAGGCACAGAAGACTCAGGGCTAAGGGAGGTTGAGAAAGATGGAGTCCTTCAGAGTGGGTCTGAAGGCCAGAACATGGGAAAAGTAGGGTTAGAACCTGGCCTGGTTTGGTCCTCACCTTAAGGTACTGCAGGCGAGCCTCCAGTTCTGCCTTCCGAATGGATGTCCCATACAGAGTTTCCAGTCTGAGGGATTGAGGGGGACAAAGGCTGAGCGAGCCTGAAGGCTGAGGGACCGCCACAAGGCTGAGCTCAGGAGCCCTTAGGCACTGCACCTAGACATGAATACCTGAGAACGTTGCCAGATGCCTTGATGATATCAACAATCTCCCGGTGCCGGATGCCTTCCACATTGAGACCGTTGACACTGGCAATGGTGTCCCCTGCCAGGAAGAGAAGTCAGCACTTGTTTCCCAGGGCATGAAGGAAGGATTCCAGCCAGGAAGGGCAGAATGGTAACCTGGAGAACTATTTCTGAACTCCCTTCCGCAGTGGTGGGGAGACCTGGGCATCTCTTTTACCCCAATTAAAATACATAGAACCTAGCTGGGTGGTGGTGGGGCACACCTTTAATCCCAGCACCCAGAAGACAGGGGCAGACAGATCTCTGTGAGTTCAAGGCCAGTCTGGTCTACAGAGTAAGTTCCAGGACAGCCAGAGTTACACAGGGAAGCCCTATCTTAAAATACAACAAAAGCATACAAAACCATAGGCATTTTTCCCTGCACAGAGACCACCAGCTTGTTGGAAAGAGAAACCTAGGCTCAGCACTGGGGATCTGAGAAGACTAAGTTGTGAGGCACACCCTCAGGAAGCCCTCTCTCCCAACAGGAGGCCTCCCAGGTTCCCATGCTCCTCCTGGAGTTAGCTATGTCTGTTTATCCCAGACCTGTCTTAGACTCATTCAGTATAGGGAAGGCATGGGATTAGTGCCCAACTGGGAGCTGGCACTGGCTCCAAGCATTTGAAGCTTCAGCTTTTGGAGGTCAGGCCCTGACCCTAGGCAGGGCTTGCTGGAGACTTTAAGTGCTTGTTTGCCATCTGTAAAAAACAATCTGGATCCTGGCTGTGACTACAGCAAGGACAATCAGGAACTACCTAGCAAAGTGTTGCTGGTATGTGGGAAAGAAGGTAATGAACACCTGGGGCCCAGCTGGAGTGGGTTAGAGAGGTCTCATGGACCATTTTGAAAGATGTGGTAGTCACTCCTCTACCAGACTCTGCCCAGCTGGACCGCACAGCTGCCAGGAAGCGGAACAGCTGTGCGGCAGTACCATCACTTCCCTGGGCTCCGCTCTGGGCTCAGGGAACTGTCTCACGACACTGTCCCACACTAAAAAGCCAGTGTGCCTGAAACCAGACTCTGTTGATTTTTCTGGCTGTCTCCAAGTTGGAGGATGAAGGAGAAAAAAACATTAATGCCTTTTCTTAGGAGTAAAGTTCTCCACTGTCCCAGAGCCCTGTATTCTGGGCTCAAGGTCTACCTGGTGTGAGCCCAGCCAGCTGGGCAGGGCTGGACTCGTGAACTCGGCAGACGAAGGTCACCATCTCTACACGCTGCTCCTCTCGGTGGTGAAGGCCATAAGTCTGTGAACAAGCAACAGGACACTCAGAACAGAGGCAAACAGATCTGCCCAGCCTTCAGCCTGGCCTCCTGACCCCTCACCCCTCTATGTCCAGTTTTCCCCACCTGGATCTCGAAGCCGAAGGTCTGGTTGTCCGTTTTCTCCAAAGTCAGCACCTTCCTGCAGAAGATACAGGGTAACGATTATGAGAACCCAGGAAAGTATGGAGGAGCTAGCTAGCTATGGTGAACCGAATCTGTAATCCTGGCACTTGAGATACTGAGGCAGGAGGATGTTCTATTTGAGTCTGAGCTACATAGTGAGGCTCTGTCTCAAAATATAATAACAAAAACAAGAGTGTGGCGGCCCCTCAGCTTAGCTCTCAAGGATGAAGTCTGATCTAGAACATTCCAGGAGGACCCAGAGTCTCCATTTGACAGCTCATTCTTTACAGATTTTTGGAATGCCCTTCCTAAACTCAACTGAAATTGGCCTCAGGGAGCTGCACAGAATTAAATTAGCCATCTACAGGGGGAGGGAGGCATCAGGAAAGGCTGTCCCTGAGAAAGGTGGATGCCTAGCAGCATCCCAGCCTTTGGGTGAGTCTGGCCACAAACTCAACTCAGTAACTGAGGCCCCCAATTTGGCCCCAGGGCTAGAGCATCCTAGCTCAGCTGCTTTGGGGAGAAGACAGCCCCACCCCCCGGGGGCCAGTCACGAGGCTGGGCGCAGACCACAACCGCTCCTCCCAGCTGTGGTGTGGCCAGCCCACCAGATGTGAAGGCTGGGGGAGGGGAGCCTGGGGCCACCCCTTCCCGAACTGAAGGCTGCCTGCTGGACACAATGGTCTGGAACCACTCCAGATTTTAGCCTGCTGGGGGAGTCCAGGGTTTCCTCTGCCCACCCCCTCCCCTTCCTTCCCGCCAGCCAGAGGCCGAATAAAGTGGATCCTAAGGCCCCTTTAAGTCTGGCAGCCTCAGAAAGGCTCTGGAGGGCCGGCCTCCAGCTCCTAGCCTGAGTCACACCCCCTGCCACCCAATGCAGCTCGCTCCCCCTTCTTCGAAAGGAGCTTTTAGCCCTGTGTTTTCCGGGGCAGGGAGCAGGGAGCCTGGATGCCCTGTGTCTGTCCCAGTGCTTTCTGGGTTCCTGGAAGGGTCTGTGAGCTTTACTTCAAAGAGTCAGATGGTAAATAGGTTTTGTGGCCCATATGGCTTCTGTCAAAAGGGTTTGTTTTACAACCCTTTAAAATATTAAAATACGCTGGCCATGGTGGCACACACCTTTAAGCACGGGGGAGGTGGAGGCAGGAGGATCTCTGTGAGTTCAAAGCCAACCTGGTCTATAGCAGAGGTCTGTAGAAAGACCCTGTCTCAAAAGAAAAAGAAAAAGAAAGAAAACCAAAAACTAAACAAACAAACAAGAAAAATAAAACCAAAAAAATTACAATAAGTTTGTCCAGTAGGCCACAGGTTGCTGGCCCATTTCAAAGGAAGCCATGTCCAAATCAGGCATGAGACACGGGCAGAAGGGAACCTAAGCTTCGGGTCCTCGGGTAAGCACCCAGTCCTGCCCACATCTCAAATCCCCACGGGATGGGACCCACACAAGACTAGAGGTTTGGGGTGTCGCACTCAAACATCTGGTCATATAGTGTCTGGGTCTACTGTGGTGGGCTGGGTGGGCTTAGGGAAGCCACAGAGGACAAGCTGGTACACTCCTACGGTGTCTCCTACTTCCTAGCTGCCACCTCTCACTAATCCAGGAAGAGGCAACTTGACAGAGATTGGGGGTGGTTAAGGAGCACCTAATGACTCAAAAGTGCCCCCCCTTATTCTGCCGCCCCTTCATACAACCCACACCCCCACCTGCCCCTCAATCCCAGCAGGGAAGTCATGCTCAAGGATGGAGATGCCTTCCAGGGGGAGTGGGTTGAGAGGCTGTGTGGTGCTCCCCCTCCCCCAACACCTCACTTTTCTGGACCACAGCAGGGGCTTTGGGTGGGGGTGACTCACCGCTGCTGTTCAGGGCTCTGGCTGAAATTCTTCCACCGGAATCCTGAGCCCTGGGTAGGAAAATGGCCAGAAAAGACAATGAGAAGTGGGGCTACCCTTGAGCAGGTGCTGAGAAGCCCTCTCGAGGAGGACTCTGACCTGAGCCCCAGTTCTGAATGTAGTACCCCACTTCCTGATGCCAATCTTCCCTCCCAACTCCCTCTCTGCTTTGGTGCTGGTGTAACTATCTGCCAAGTGCAGCTACTATTCCTCCTCCCAGAGTTCACCCCAACCCGGGGACTTCCAGGACACAACTGTCCTGGGTTCTAGATGGTTGGGTGACCTCTTTTCCTCGACTAACCAGTTTGGGGAAGATTGTGACACTGCTGGGATCATGTCTGAGGGGCCAGGCCTTCCAGGCCCCAAAAGCTGAGGCAGGAGCTTTCCCCTAGCTGCAGAGAAAGAAGGGTAAGAAGCCACCGGACTTAAGGTCCTAACTAACTCCAGGGTCCCAGCCAGCTGGTCTGTCCATTTAATGGTTCAGACAGACAGTAGTCTGGGAAAGCAGAGAATCAGGAGCTGAAGGTGGTAGAGGTGCCAAAGCGCCTAAGAACAGGCTGCCTGGGGCCGGCTGTGGATGCAGCCAGCTGTATGCCCTCCAGATAGACCTGAGTCTCTGGATATTGCCGTGCATTTTTTTTTTTTTTTGAGCAAAGTATATAACTAAATAAAAAAAATCAGAGTCAAACCTGTCTCACACTATAGTTGAGAAGCAGGGGTTTCATTTTTGAAGAAGACCCCTCCCTCAACTCTTCAGGGCCCCAGAGAGCCTAAAACAAACTCTGTCCCTCCTAAGATTTTAGTTCTTAGAGGATGGAGGAAGTCCCATCCGGGATCAGCCCTTCCCCAAAGTGCCAAAACAGCTTGAGGCCTTCCTGGGTTGTGCTCTGGGTAACACTCCCTAACCCCCAAGCTACCCCAAAGCTAGGAGAAGGGGACCCTCTTTCAGAACCAAAGATTAGCCTCAGGGTGGGGACAGTACCCAAATAGGCCAAGGAGGAAGGACTGGGTAGTACAGAGAGACCCCTTTGTCTTTCAACTCGATTTTCATAAAATGCAAATTCTCAACAAGCTGTTCATTGTATGAAGTGGGGAGCCAGGGGCCCGGAGAGAAGGAAGGGGCCGCGTGGAAAGGCCACCCATCCCTTCTCCTTAACCTAGGTCTCGGCACCCAGGTCTTCCCAGGCCAGAGGAACAGTCTCACTAACGGGGGGGGGGGGGGGGGGGGGGGGGGATGCAGAAAGCGAGCGGGTGCGGCCCGCATCCTTCCTGCCCTGTGACCTCTCCCACCGCGTCCGGTCCTGGCTGAAGTCAGGAGGGCGGTGCTCTCACAACCCGCATCTTAGATGCGGGACAAAGCGTGGGGCCCTGATCCCGGAAAGCCCGGCGTCCTAGTGGAGGGGGTATTCTCGGAAATTCGCAGCACTACTTCTAAGGAACCATTAGTTTCTCTCCCACCCGGGGCTCCAGGACCCTCAACTTGTCTGAAGCAAGTGTTGGGGTTCTTCCCTAGATCTTCTTGCTCCAACTTCAGGAGGTGCTCGGGCGAGGGGGTCCTGAGAGTTTCTAGACTTCTAGACACCGACAGGCTGAGCGGGAGGCGGCAGAAAGCCAGATGGAGCCAGGCGGAGAAAGGGGGTGCTGGGGCGGAGTCAAAGCAGGAGAGTGGGAGGAGATGGGGCGTTCGCGCGTGGGGAGTGGAGTGGAGAGCCAACCCAACTGGGGGCGTCGTGGTGGCGGGGACCACAGCCTTCCGAGCCGGGAGTGGGCGCCTTTTGAGGACAGGGCCGAGCGAGGCGGGCGGCCCCGGCGCTGACACGCGGTACTGAGTCTGGGGGCGTAGGTTAGGGAACGCACCTTTCGGCGGGGCAGGGTGCCCCCGGACACTGCGAGCGCGCGGTACAGCTCCGCAGGATGGTAGTCCTCCAGCGCGGCGTACAGCTCGTCCCCCGGGGCTCCAGGCGGAGCGGCGGCGGCTGGGGGGCCCGAGCGGGTCGGAGCTGCTTCCGAGTCGGGAGCCGGACCAGCGGGGTCCGGCGCGGCCGCCGCCTCCTCCTTCTGCTGCAGCTTCCTGAGTCGGCGGAGGGTCATGGCTCCGGCGCCCGGCGCCCCTTAGAGGCTGCGCTCACTCTACTCTGTGGTGTTGGCGATGGCTGGGGGAGTCCAGCCGAACGGGCCCCGTGTAGCCTTGCTTTATAGACTCCCGAGAGGCGTGGGGAGCGGCCTCCAATGGCCTCGCCCCCGACACGCAGGCACCGCCCCGGGGGTGGGGGACCCGCTATGGCGAGCCCCGCCCTCAGCGCGCCGTGGACCGCCGGGCTCGGGAAACTCTGGGGAACTTGGGCACTCAGTGGGGTAAGCCTAGTCACCCACGGCACCCAGGACATCTGGGCCGAACAGGGGTGTCCGTGCTACCTGGAAGCAGTCTGTGAATGCCTGTTGGATGAGATTTGAAGTTTGGGAATGAACGATGGCTTTAGTGGTTCGTGGAGATGCGGGCACAGTAAGAAGTGGTAAATAAACTGAAGGAAAGTTTGAGATCCGGGAAAAGAGGGTGGGGGGTCAGACTCGGTGGGGAAGCCTGGAGGTGAGACATGCAGGCGAAGGGGGGGGGTATGGTTTCTGAAGAAGAACCGGGAAGACATCTATAAACTGACCTCGCAGAAGGAGTGAGGGGATGAGGGTTTCACCTTCCACCCGCATCCTTTCCCAGCTAAAGTCGGGAGAAAGGGAGACTGCGGAAATCTGCAAATAGTTTTAGTTCAGAGCCCCTTCCCCGTGCTGGAGTCCAGGCTCCCTTTCCTCAGTGGTGCTCAGAGCTGGACTTGGCGGGTGCTGAGCCATTCTCTAATCCTGCTCTTTGTTACCATGGCTGCCAGGGTGCAGGAGAGGCGGATGACCCAGCCCATGTCTGTGTAACTCCCAAATAAGAAGTGAGAGAGGAAAGTGGTCAGTGTCTAGCCGCCATAGAGAGAGCCGGTTCCACATTCAGAGATAGGCTACTACATGTGCGCTTCAACCTTACGAAGTAGGTACCACTGTTACCCCTGACACGAGGAGGAAACAGACCCAGGCAGAAAGCACCTTGCTAGGAGAGGGAGGATCACTCAGAGGCAAAGCTCAGGTCCCGAACAAGGCGGCCTGGATCTAGGGCTCCAGCCTACCCTCTCTGACTTCAGTGATGTATCAGGAACTGGCTGGACCCTGGTATAACAGAGGCGCTTGGTCCGGCAGGGGACAGCATACTGTGCATGCTCTATGTAAGACATATACCACATACCACAGCGTGCGGGGGAGGGGGTGGCAGGAGGGAGCAAAGGCCAGAAGGCCCTATCTCAGAGGCCAGGGAAGGCTTTCTTCTACCTGTTTCAGTACAGCAGTCTGGTTATTTCCCTGTGTTTTGCCCACCCCCAGACCCCTGCGCCCCCATACAAGAGGGAGGTGAGAGGGGTGCTCCTCCACACTCAGAAATTGCACAAGTCCATATGGCAGGATGCTTGTGGGGTTGGGAGTAGGGATGGCTTAGAACTGAGGTCTAGCTACCTTAGTGTTTCTCCTTCCTTTAATCACCAAGTGGCAATCAGTCGAGGGGCCAAGGGAGTGTTGGTGGGGAAACATGGGACTCTATTGAGAACATTAACACAGATGGACCCCTGGACCGTCTGTCGCCTGCTCCTGATGGACGACATCTGTAGCGGGGGAGGGGGAGGGGAATTACAAAGACAGACGGTCCAAGAGTTTCTTTCATATTTATTCTAGTGCTTATCCATGAGGGGCCCCTCCCCAAGAGGACCCTGCACAACCTCTTCTATGAGGGAGCCACCTCCCTACTCCAGAGGATTACTTAACGAATCTGTGTCTAATAGCCTTAGACACAGACCTCCTTCGGGCTGAAGGAGAGCAAATATTCTTCCCCATAGTCCCAGTTCGTGCAAGTCCGGCAGCCTCTGGCCTCCAGGGAGAAGCCAGCACAGGGAACTGAAGTTCTCACCTAAGAAGGAAGGTGCTAGAAAACCCAGAGCATGTGTGAACCCAGAAAAGGCAATTTCTATAAGTCCTTGGCATGGTTTCCTCAAATCCTAGGATTTCAGAGCTGGAAGGGGCCTCACGTTCTGGAAAAGATGAGTGTGGTCTAAGCCCTCCCGCCTATAACAGCAGCCAGAGAGAAAAAGACTCCCGTGGATGGGCTTGGGAACCCAGGACTCTTGACAAGACTGCAGTTGACAGCTGGGGGAGAACCTGATGACCGCCTGCTTCCTCTGCTATCTCCTTGGTTTCTCTAGCAGGGGAAGGATAGCCCTGGGTGCCTCCCTGTGGGATGGTGATGCCCTCTGCTGGTCATGAGCTTTGTGGTGGAAAATCTCCAGATTCAAAGGTGGGCTCTTGCCTGCCTCACCTGGACACACAGCCTTTGTCCCTGTCAGGAGGATCTGGGCTCAGCTGGTCACTGAGTTCACAGTGAGGGACTTATAAGGAGGGAGGTTGTAGGGTTCCAGGAACAGCAAGAGGCGGGATGCATAGTGTCGTCCACTTCTCCCCGATATACTCCTATCCTTGTTATTAAGAAAAAGTCTGGCAAATGGAGGTTGCTGCAAGATCTTAGAGCAGTAAATGATTGTATGGAAATTATGGGGACAACTCAACCTGGGTTGCCTCCGCCCATGGGTATTCCTGCTGGATACCATCTTTTAGTTATTGCCTACATGGGAGCTCCAAAAACTGTACACACTGACAATGGGCCAGTCTCCACCAGCACTGGCTTTGCTAAATTTTGCTCTGAGTTCTCTATTTCTCATAAAACAGGAATACCCTATAATCCTGTTTATAGTGGAGCGAGCGCATTGTACGCTCAAAGCCTATTTGCATAAAACAAAAAAAGGGGGAATATGGTTCCACCCCCAGAGACCATTTATCTTTTATTTTAAATTTTTTGACTGCTGATGCTCAATCTCGTACCGCTGCTGACCGGCATTGGCGGCCAGATTCTTCTGACATGACTCATGGAAGAATCTAGCAGATGGCACCTGGTATCATCCAGATCCTGTGCTGGTGTGGGGAAGAGGGGCCGTTTGTGTTTCCTGCAGGATGCTGACAGTCCAATATGGGTACCTGAGCGTCTGGTACATGCTGTGAATTTTCCTGTCCTGAAGACAGGACAGAGCCAAGAAATCAAATAGACACCAGTTTGTCAACTGAAGAGTTGGTGGGATCCTGAGGAGCTGGCTGTGGTGGTCCGAGTGCCGGGATTGTTCCTCTATCGACCCATCCCATGATAATGGCACCCATTGCTGTGGCTGCCAGAGTGGCTACGGCTGCTGGATTTTCCATTAGTCAGTCATTTGCTTCTGCTAGCACAATGGATATCTTCTCAGGGCAGGTTGCAAATGCCTTGGCCACTCAAATTGAGCTAAATTTACAAATGAATATTGCAGTTAATTTTGCAATTGGTTTTGGTTAAAGACCACTGCTAGGTTATACAGTAAAAGGCTTATTGCTGTTATTCATGGACCCTGGAGTGCACAATTTACAACTTGGCTCTTGAGATTATTCTAGTTAACTATACCAGGGTTCCTCCCACCAGCGCTGAGACCTTACTTAAAGGGCTCCAATTTGGGCAGGCTTATTAAGGATTGAGCAGGCACAGCCTCCTTAAGGAGTGCTTATATGTGCTGGAGCATCATCTTCATGTTTTTATGGTGCCAGAACCAAAGGCAAGTTCAGATCAATGTTGCCACTTGGCAAGTCCTCTTAGCTATTGCCCTGGAGAATCTTTCAGCACAAATCTGGCTGAACTCGGTGATGGGTGACTAGTGAGCCAATGACAGGAAAGGTTTTTGGGGGGCTGCCCCAACCTAAGACCAGAAACGCTGTTTTGACCTGGACGCTTTCCCATGACGGGTGAGGGGTATTGCCTGATGTCCAAGTCCAATGACACCTAAGACAGGCCTAGTCATATAATTTATATAAAAGACCCTGTAGGGCCCATGGGTCTACCCCTGCTCCCGGGGTTCATTTTGAGGACAGTCTCTGGCCAGCCAGTGTTTCCTGTTTGTTCCTGTGCTCTCTCTGCCCCCCTGGTGATCAGCTATAGGGCATTGTTCACTCCACCTTGGGTGTGGTAATTTCCCACCTGCCTGGGAGTATTCCATTGTGCAGCGACTAGGTATTTAAGGTTTTCCCTAAATTTGAATAAATGGCATTCAGCTGATCTCCTTTCGAATGACCCGGGTCTCATGTGTTCTTTCAATCTCCAGGCCCTTGCCCGGCTTGCGTGGCTGTACCGAGAGGGTAATGCAGATGCAGGAGTTCCAGGAGGTGATACAGGGGAAATGCACTGGAGACTGGAGGCCGTTGCTGGGTTTTCTGGGAATAGTAACCTCCCTTCACAGCACAGCTCCAGAGCCCAGCCTTCTGCTCTCCCCAATCTCCTCATAAGCCACGCCCCTTGTCTAGCATCTGTTCTCGTCCTCCCGTCCTGCTGCAGCCGTCAGCAGGCCTCCTGCCACTCCAGATGTCCCTTGCCAACCCCCCCCCCAACCTCCCATGCCTCCCAGCAAATCCCCTGTGGATCTGCTCCTGAGAAATCTATACTCTGTCTGCAACTAATGCAGAAGCAGGTGTCCTGTTCCCAGGGAGTTCAGATTTCCCAGTTCTTTGGCTTCAGCTTCCCTGGTTGAGATGGGGTCAGTCTAAGAAGGGACCTGGACTGTGTGGGATTTGTAGGGACTGTCTAATGAATAAAGCCCCTTCTCACTTCCTTAGGACAACCCTTTGCCAAGTCTCCCACCAATCCACAAACCCCTGTGAGGAAATGGGAGAAGTGACTTCCATGACCCCACAGACCTGCTTTAACTCTGGGGTGCCCTCAGGAAGGTGGAACACTAGAGTGTGGAAGTTCGGGCCTTCTAGAGTCTCAGTGAAGCAGTTACTTCAGGACCCAGAACTGGCAAGGATGAACAGCTCTGTGGATGCCGCCTCTGCTTCTGCCCTGGGGGTGGGGGTGGGGGTGGGTGGTAGCAGGGCAGGGCCTGGGGCTCAGCTGGCTCCCTGGTCCACCAGAAATGAGGGTTTGGGCTTCAGTTTTGTATGACATCACTGCTTGCAGGAGGTGTAGAACAGCCGGCGGGCAGCTGGCTGGGCAGGGAACGCTTGTTTTCTTAATGACTCCTATTGCCTAACTATGTTCATGGGCTG